ACTTACACCGAAGACTACGGCGCGACACTTCTCGATGCGAGGCATCCAATGTAAAGAGGGCTGGTGAGCCTTTTTTGCAGCACATATCTATATATATATATATGTACATATGTATATATGTATATATGTAAATATGTATATATGTATATATGTGCACATACATGCATGCGTACATACACACATAGATATGTTATATGTTTTGCATATGTCATTTATGTTATACATGTTGTGTATATATAATATAATATAATATAATATATATATATATACACATGCTATAAATGCAGACAGGTATTTATTTGCTGCCTTATCTAGTGCTAGGCCCCGCCCGTAACAAAGACTCAGCAGCAGGGGTATGGGCAACTGCCAAGTGCAAAGCTGCATGCAGCGTAGCACAGCCTTCATAAGGACACCGCCGACACTATCGAGCGCTGGTACAAGGCAACATTGGCCTTCTTTTAATTGAGCGACCCTAGTGACTAGCCAGTGCAGGTACAGCAGATGTGGACTTCATTGGAGAGCGTCTTTACAGGCAAGGCACCAGTGACTCTTCCATAATTACTCTTCCTAGTTCCAGGGTCCTGGAATGCGGAAGCCTTGATGGTTTGCCTCTTTCCAATTGCACAGAAGTTTCAGGCGGAGACATTGCGAAGCAGATGCCCATGGAGGCAAAGAAGTTTGGACAGATCGACAAGGACAGGGCAGGTTGATGGAATCTGAGCAGCTCTTCATCTGTGTTTACCTGCCGGCATCTCGCTGGGGCATGGGTCAAGGATTGGCTGAAGATTATGCACAAGTCGGCCGAGACAATGAATGTCGTGGAGCCGCTTGTCCTGGTCTAACAACTATCAGCGAGTTTTCTTCATGCCATCCAGAAAAAATCGCACACATGCCCAGCCGGTTTTGCACAGCTCGCGGAGCCAAGTTGCTGTCAGAACGAGCTGCTTCGCCAGATGATGCCAGCACAAAGCTTAGCCAACCACTTCAGTCGCCTTGAACTGAACCGACATCCGCTGTTGCTGTGAAGAGCTCTTGTGCTTGCAAAGCAAGCCATTCATGCAGGTGCTTCTGGCTGGGTTGGAGACGTGTCAAAAGCTCTCAGCTTAATCTCGATGAGAGCCAATTCGGGGCAGAGACAAGGTGGACGCCAATCACTTTCGCAAACGAAACGGACGTCACGGGTTCCTCTGCTTTCCGTGCTCGCTGCGAGGTCATTGGAGAGCTACTTGGAAGGAAAGCGGCAGAAGCTCGGAGCTCGTCTTTCAGCTGTGGCGCGTTGATGCGTGTTGTGCGGGGAATGTGGTCAGGTTTCCACGCTTCTTCTTCACTTCAGATCCGGTCCTCCTGAAGATTCTGTCGCAAGGCCTCTCGTAATTTTGAGCTTCGTGGCCGCGCAGTAGAAGTAGCCGTGTTTGGCCAGGAAGCGACCCGGAGACAATCCAGGATTGCTCGATTATGTCGAGTGGGTTGTGACTGATGGTAGCTTTGGGCAGGTGAAGACGTATATGCTTAACAGCAGTGCGTGCATAACCCTTGTGTACGTCTCCGACCATCCCATATCCCGGCCAGTCCAGGACGACTTTGAGAAGCTCTTCGACGCAATCAGCCGCGTCACGCAAGCGCCTTATGGGAATAACCAGCTCGGAACAGCAGCTGGGAAAGACGGCTCTCCGCTCCGTTTGACAACCGATCCTCTGTGTCGCCGAAGGTTTGACAAGATCGACCGCCGCAAGATCAAGGAGATCAAGAGCCCTTTGGCCGCCTTTGGCCGACTGGCGATTGTCGTCGCAAGGATATCTGTGTGCACGGAGGGATCGGCGTATACCTGTGAGGTGTTGCTGGAAGCTCGGATGAGCGAGTCATACTGCAGGCACCTGTGATGGCACAAGGAAATATCGAGGACGCCAGTCATTGGCCTACGAGCACACCCCAAGTACACAAGAGACCGAAAACTGGAGAGGAATGGCTGCAAAACCTCGAAGCGGAGATGCAGCGAAGTGTGCGCTTACCCCCCAGATCGCAGACAAAATGCAAGAAGCGTAGGCACCGGTAATCTGTCCGGTTGTTTGGATGTCCTTGGTCGACACGGCCATCCCGGGATAGGACAACGCGGAATTTAGAAATTTTGAGTGAACAGGCACTTTGGGGCTTCAAGTGGCTTGAGATGCTACCTTGTCGGACATTCGGCGGCCATGCTTGTGGCAGGGAGTTGGAAGTTGTTCATCTCATTTTGGTCGTATAGGTGCACAGCTGGCATCCAACATCTCCAATCTCCGCGTGCGAGTGAGGAGCAGCCGGCCTTTGGCATCGTCAGCAAATTGCGCAGGCATAGGCTGTTCTGGCTCGCAACAGCCGAGCTCTGCATGAGGTCGGGAATGCAGGTTGGCAGCTGGAGAGTGTGGATCTGGCCTTGGGATTTTGCAGCTGGTGTTCTTTACAAAGCACATGTGGAACTTCGCTGCGTCACGACTCCTCACCAAGGGAGTGTGATTTCGTCCATTCCAGTGCAAAGCTTCGCGGCCCAGGGCTTATGTTGCTGGGGCTGAATCTGGTGACACGTGCACTCTGCTGCCAACAGACGCTAGGACAAATACATCGCCCAAGTTGCATTGTGGTGAGCTCAGTCTATCAGATTACAGTAGCAGGCTATCCGGGGAGATGTGCTAGCTGCTAGCTTGATGATGCAGTCATTGGCAAGTTATTGGTTCAGAGGAGCTCAGTGCGTCTCACTTTTAAATGCAATGGCTCAGCCATGTGGCTCGACGGCAGGAGGAGCCTTGGCTGACAAACAGACAGCTCCGGTGTGTGCACTCGTGTGAGCTGCTTGTGGGTCGACATGGGGACTCCTCTTTGGAAGGATATTGTATTTGTTGCGGTAGTGTTTTTTGGTGCTTCTCTGAGGATTTGTTTTTTTTTTTCGGCGGGGATTCTGGCCTTTCTGCTTTCTTGGCTTCCCTGGCTTGCCGCTTGGCTTCCGGCTTCTTGGTCGCCATGGCATGGCTTCCTGCCTTCTTGGCTTCTTCTTGGCTTCGTGTCTTCCTCGCTTCTGCATACTACATATCACGTAGGATACTAGTTGCTTTTGTTATGTAGTGCAATTATTATACCATGGAAAATACATACTATTTCAGTCTGGTTGCCCGTATATGGAGCAGGCCAGGTCAAAGCAAGACTCTAAAAGAGTCACTCGAGGTTAAAACGAGTGTCCCTTAAAAGGAGACCCAGGTCAAATGCAAGACGATCGAGGTACAAACAAAGCTGTCCTCTGTCACAAGCAAGGACCGAGGCTAGCACGATTGCTCCTCCTGGTCAAGATTCTCCTCAGCTTCCTCCTCATCCTCCTCCTGCTACAACTGCTGCTGCTGTTGCACTACCACTACATCAGCGCGACCACTACCACTACCACCACAACCACCGCTACCACTACCACTGCGACGACGACGACGACGACTACTACGACTACTACGACTACTACTACGACGACGACGACGACGACGACTACTACTACTACTACTTCTCGTGGTCAGGTTCAGTTTTGGTTTTGGCGCTTTCCTGATGATTCAAATCATTTGTACAAAGATCGACTTGTAGCAGTTTCTGTTTCTTAGAGGTGGGACTGGGCTGCCAATCGTCATGTTGCTCGAGGAACCGTTAGATTAAGTGGGGTTGCTTGTTCTCTTGTCATATTGGGCTTCTTGGCCTTCGTGGGGAAATTTGCCGACTCGTGACCCCGCGGAGCTGTCAGAGGCGCAGGCGGGCGACACAAACAACCAGTACATCGTGCCGGGTGGAAACGTCTTGGCAATCTTGGTCATCTTGAAATCTTGATCAATCTTGGTCCAAAAACAAGATAGCCAGCAACCTTGCAAATCTTGCAATCTTGGTTATCTTGCCCCACTTGCTCGCCGAGTAGTTTACC